GGCCGAGTATTTTATTTTACCTACAATCATGCCCCAAATAGAGCACATACCTCCGCCACACAACATAGATCATATTCGGCTCTCAACAAATACGAAAGTGTGTCTGTATGTCTGTCATTATCAACGCACACGGACCATATTTGACAGGACTAACCTTTATCAAAATATAATCCGATCATGTTTTGACTGAGCTATAAAACAAAATTATTGTAAAAAATTGGTACCCATGTTAACAGATTGGGATTTTTTAGATTTTAGAGACCTTGACCTTTAACTTGACCCTCCAAAAATTGAAAACTTTTAAGTTGGGATACAGTTCAAATGTATACTAACTTTCGTCCAAATTCATTCAACAGTTTTCGAAATATCTTGCTGGTAAACACACACACACACACATAGAGGTGAAAACATAACCTCCATACACCTTCGGTGGCGGAGGTAATAACTTTACAATTGTAGCCTATTAACCATATTCATAAGCATGTGCACACTATGGTGGAAATCATTTGGACACATTAGAAAAGCTAATGCCAGCAAAATCATAACGATCGGGCCGAGAACGTTTTTTTTTGTTTTTTGTCTATCGATTTTTGAAGCCATTTCGACAAAATAAAGGTGTGGTGTTATCAATTCATTCTTGTAGATAGACCGACTTCAATGACGTAAGCAAATACTGCCCACATTGATCGCCAATTAAGAAATAAAAAAAAAGATTGAAATCGCATAGTGATTGGTCGCGAATACATGCGGAAAAGGGGCGGCGAACCTTCCCCACTCCATAACTGAAGTATTTAGATGACGAGCACTAAGGAGCCTAACATTTTCATGCTGAAGGAAGAACTTCCGTTACTCCTATCGAATACTGACTTATTAAAACAACTTGCATTAAACATATTATTTCTGAAAAACCATCCTAATCTTATAGAATACTTGTTTCCATTTACTCTTTTAATAGCTTAATAATGGCTTCAGAATCTTTCAAGATATACACTCATATAGATCTCCAATAGCTTCTTTTATACCTGTCGCCGGTGTTCTCGAGATAAGAGTTTTCAAACCTGTACAAAAAAAAATATTTGGATCATAGATTTTCGACATCATTATGAAGAGAGAAGCTACATAAGTACTCTGGTTGGATGATTCAGCTATGCAGGGATCCATTGAATCTTTAATAGAATGAAAATGCTCCGTTGTCATAGAAACACTGATAGCTTGAACAACTGAGACAGCAGTGAGGTGGGATATATTGAAATTGTTTGTATAAATCAGATCATTTATTTGGTGTCAAAATAGCCAAAAGAATTTATGCAGATAAACACATTCAATGATCTGACAAAGTCAAAAGTTAATCTCCAGTAAAGATTATTTATTCTTTCCCCCCAATATAAAGTGTGTACAACCAGAGATGTAAATACTTTTTCCCGAAAGAATTTGTCTTTCACCCACAAAGTGTTCTATAATCGATTTGTTATATATATATTAGTCTTTGTTCATTTAATTTTTTGTATTATTTTGAAAATTACGTGAATTTAAGCTATCCATTGGTAATACACATACACATATTATTTATATCAATAGTTCTAAATCTATCAAATACATTAATTTTCAATAGGTTATTTTTGTAATCAGCTTGTTTGTTTGTTTGTTATGAA